CGGGGAAGGTCCCTTGATCAGAGGACAAAAACATCTCCTTTTCTATATGCTTCCCTGGTCTGCCCAGCTCCCTGGGGAGTGGCCAGAGCACCCAGCCAGAGGCACCAAGCCAAGGTCAGCGACCAGGCCTAGAGCCCAGAGCCTCCTGGGAGGGTGAGTTTAAATGAATAAATATGGTCCCGCCTGGGTGTGGCCAGCAGCAAGCGGAGCTCCGGACAAGCCCCTCCCCTCGAAGCCTTCCTGCAGAGGGAGAGCGCTCCCACAGCAGGCACAGCCGCATCCCCACCCCTGCGGACTCTCAGGGTCCCGGGCAGAGTCAGGGAGCACATCCGCCAGGTCTGCACGGCGGCCAGGACCAGCCAAAAACATGGCGAGGCTCCCCGAAAGGTGAGGTGGCGGACACAGGCTCAGGAAAAGGAAAAATGAGCTGCCTTGGGGCCTCCCAGGCCAGGGGTCTACCCCGCAGTGCCCACAGGCTCAGATGCAACCTTGACACATGGGGGTGGCCTTGCTCATCAGAGTGGGGAGGGAGACAGAGACTGGTGTAAACTACCACGTCTCCCAGGTGCTCTGATGGCCTCTGGGCTGGTGCGACTCACGTCCACCTGGAAAGCTGCCTTAGCCCAGGGCACGTGGCCCGCGTGGGGGTGCGGGGGGCAGAGGCGGTGTGAGCCAGGGTCGTGGGCAGGGGCCCCGGGGGCACTGCAGGGGCAGTGATGGGAGTCAGCTAGGGCTCCTCAACTGGCAAGCCAGGTGGTCCATCTGCGGTCTAACCTCAGTCCCTCTTGCTCTATTGAGCCCTCCCTCTGCCAAGTCCTTGCAGGCCTCTGCCTCCTCACCCCTGGTCCCCCATCCATCCGCGGCCTCCAATCCCTTAATCATCTTCCCATTCACTGGCCCTCACCCCCGCAGGGTGGCAGCTGCTCAGTGGGTGTCTACACACCCCTGGGTATGAGCTTGCACACCTCCACGCACACCCGTGAGTATGAGCTCGCACACCTTCACGCACGCCCATGTGTATGAGCTCGCACTCCTTCAGGCACGCCCGTGTGTATGAGCTCACACACCTTCACGCACGCCCGTATGAGCCCGCACACCTTCACGCACGCTCGTGTGTATGAGCTCGCACTCCTTCAGGCACGCCCGTGTGTATGAGCTCACACACCTTCACGCACTCCCGTGGGTATGAGCTCACACACCTTCACGCATGCCCGTGAGTATGAGCCCGCACACCTTCACGCACGCTCGTGTGTATGAGCTCGCACACCTTCACACACGCCCATGTGTATGAGCTCACACACCTTCACTCCATGTGCCCCTAAATGCTGGGAACCTGCCAGGTGCATCTGGGCACGGCGGCCTGCACAAGGACCCCCCCCCCCCAACCAGCACCCCCTGGCAGGCTCCCAGCAAGGGGGCAGGAGGGAAAATAAATACCCAGGCCCAGGCCACTGTCTGAGCCTTTCAGAAAGCAGAGCCCCCAAGAACGGCTGGGGAAGAAAGCACCTTTAGAGCTCCCTCTTTCCCAGTCCGAGGGAGAGCCACTGCTGTCCCCTTAGCGAGCACCCTGGTAAGTTCTTCCCGAAGTTGGAGCGCTATGCCGCTTGCTGCAGTGGTGGGCGGGCAGCCCGGCACCAACCAGAAGCCGGCAAGGTGTCCAGCTTCCCACACAGAGCTCAGAGCACCTCGCACCTCCCCCTCCCACCATGAGTAAGTCACCAAACTGGGACAGAAGGACAGACGGTTGGCCGGACTCCGGCCCCATGACTGGCTCATAAAAGCCACCAGCAATGACAGTGATGCTGAGGCGATGCGGGCTCCCCCCGCCACCGCCTTCTGCCCTCTAACAAGCGGGATAATTGCCTCAAACTGGGGGGCCTCAGGGAGCCCAGAGAGTCCCAGCCTGGTCCCTTGAGGTGGGCAGAGCCCCCCACCGCAGAGCACCATGACCCAGAACCTGACCCCTGACGACAGACCCCAGGCCCATGTCCGACTCCTGTACCCACTGCAGACACCAAACGAACCCCGGCCAGCCTCCCTCACCTGTCCCCCCACCCAGCCCTCTTCTCCAGGAAGGCCACCACCTTCTGGGTGACAAGGGCAGAGAAGCAGGCTCTGAATAGTATAACCAGGGCCCTGCTGGAGGCCCCTGTCCATCCCGGACTCCTCTTGCTGTGTGGACAGGCAGAGAAGTAGGTGGCAAAGGTGGCAGAGTGTCTGATTCAGGGTCCCCCCACACCGGGCCAAGGCAAGCACCGAGATCTTGGACCCGGTGCCAGCCAGGGAGGGCAGCGACCCAGGTGGCCGGGGGAGAAGGTTAGGAAGACGAACAGAAGGCCAGGCCCCTCTGGGGGCCCAAGGGCGAGGGACGCCCACAGCAGAGACTGAGGAGGAGGAGGGTGGGAGCGGCTAGGTCGCAATCTGTGAGGGTCTAACCTAAGGCCTCCTCTTCCCTGGGCGCCAGTGGAGCCGGGGGCCTCCCTCAGCCTCCCTGCTACTGGTACTCCAGACGACCCCCACCCCCGCCCCCGCCAGGGACTTTACCCTCACCTTCTTTCCTCACTGCACCTCCCAGGAAAGACCAAGGAAGATTTAAAAAAAAGAAAGAAAGAAAGAAAGAAGGAAAGAAAAAAAAAAAAACCACCCTGCTGGAGAAAGATTATATAACAGCAGCCAGAAAGACTATCCTATCTCCGGGTCTGTGAGAAGAGCCTAGAGCCAAGCGGGGCAGAGCTGGGAAGCCCAGGGCCCTCCAGCCCAGGAGCAGCAGGCCCAGAGCAGGGGGACAATGGGCAGTACGTCAGAGCCACCGTTCCTAGTCCTCCACCACTCGGTTCCAGGCACTGGGTACAGGAGACAGAAGCCCCAGCCCAGCCTCGCACGCCCATCCCCCAGCACATGGTCAGGATGCTCTCTCTGCCTGGGTCCTGCTGCTCCCCTTGGACCTGAGGCTCCAAGAGCAAGGACTGTGTCTTCCCTCTCGTTGTCACTCCCTACTGTGGAGCCACGCCTGGAAGACTGGAGCTTAGACTAAAGCCCTGACACAGACCTGCTGTGTGATTTCAGGCACATGGCTCAACATCTCTGGTCCCTAGAGGAACATGAGTGAAAACCCTTCCTTTTCCCAGAGAAACCAGAGACCCCTCACTTACGCATGTCCACGCACACACCTATACACACACCCAGGTACACAAGCACATACAGGTATGCTGGGGGGCGGGGAGATACGACAAAGAGAATAGGACCACTGAGACCCAACAGTCGAAATGCCCATCGTAGGGCAAACTAGGAAAGAGCCGTATGTAGGCCCTAGTGTTCCCCAATCACCCAACATAAGACATAAACGGGTCTTCAGTCACCCTCGCTGGGATCCCACCCCACCCCCACCTCCTGCCCAACACACTGGGAAACCACAGGAAGGAAATTCATTCCCAGGCAGGCCGTGGGAGTTGGGACAGCCAGGCTAAGTCCTGGGGCGGGTGTGACCCAGCGGCCACAGGCGGGCTGGACATCTGTGAACACTGACATGTGCCTTTTCCATGCTCTCCTTGGCTCCCAAGACTTCCCTGTTGGGGGTCCGAAGACGAGTGGGAGGTGGACAGCTCCCTAACTTCAAAACACCCAATCTAGGGCTGGCCTGGGCTCCCCTCCTATCTCGAGGCCGGAGCAGCCCAAGGTCACCGCCCCAGACGGCAAACTTCCCGTAGTCCAGGCCGGCCCCTGAACTGCCTGGGAGACCCGTGAAGGGGCTGGGGGAGGGGTGGGTGAGGACCACCCCCAAACCAAAGAAACCAGGCTAATAAGGAGACCTCAAAAAGGGGACTCGGCACAGGGAAGGGGGGCAGAGGATCCACCCACTGTAGCCTCCCCCAAACCACCAACAATGCCCTGTTTAAGAGGAGGTACAGAGAGCCTCCCACTTAGAAGGACAAACCTGGGATAACCTAGTCAGTGGTTCCGAGGGTGCCCACACCCAGGAGCCCTCCCCACACTAGGACAGACCTACAGAGGCTGTCCAGAGGACGGCTTGAACCACTAAGGAGAAGGGGCCCTTTCTCCCATCCCCCTGAGACCCAAATCTGACGGCAGGGGGCTGCCACAGGGCAAGACACAAGACTCATCCTGGTCTCCTTGAAAGCCCCCCAACATTCCCTCGACCCCCACTCCCAGACCAGTTCAGCCTGCCATTGGTGGAAAGAGAGACTGGAGAACTCTTGCCCAGATGTTGAGCAGCTGCAAACTTCTGGCCAGGGTTTCTCCAACTGGGGCTGCTGACAAACCAGATCGGGGGTCTCGGAGTGGGGGTGGGAGGTCCCAAGAAAGGGTCGAGCGCGCCCACCTCCGTGGGGACTCGGCGTCCCAAGTCCACAGGCACCCGGCAATCCCGGGCCGGGACACACACACACACACACACACACACTCACACACCCCGACCCACCACCCCGGTGTCATCTGAACAACGTCCCCCCTCCCTCCCCCGCTTCCCAAACAGCTGCGGCTCCCCCCGCCCCCACCCTCCCGCCGCCCTCCCAGGCCCCCTTCTGCACCATTTCGGGCCAAGGAGGAGTGAACAGGCGGCGCGAGCAGGGAGAGGGAGGGAGGGCCGGCTGTTAAAATGTCAGTCGCTCCCGGCTGTCACCGGAGACCCCCTCTGAGGATGGCGCCCCTGCCCAGACCACTCGCTGGCCGTCGTAACCCCCGACACCCACAGACGGGCGCGCCCCCAAGCGCAGGTCCCCACCCCGACCCCGGCACGCAGGGGAGTCAGAGCCCCCTGCACTTGTCCCCCGGCCGAGTCCCCTACACAAACAAGCAGCCCCCCACGTAGCCTCCCACCGCCGCCGCACGGAAACAGCCTGCTCCGCGAGTTCCTCCCACCCGGGGGCCACCCCAGCCCACCCCTCAGGGGGACGGTCCAGACCACCCTCCACCCCAACCCCGGGACGGGGTGGGGGAGGGGGCCTCTTAAAGCGGCAGGCGCATTATTTTTCCCTACTCACCGGCCCCGCTGGGGGAAAGGGGTGTCACAGCTGGGAGGGGTGGCCCTCGCCCCCGGTCCGGGGGACCTTCAACGCCGGGCAGCCGCAGCTCCGGGCGGGGGGGAATAACAAATGAGGCCGGCGTCCGCGCGGGCCCTGGGCGGCGCCGGGGGGCCTGGGCCCCCGCCGTGGGCGCGGGGGCGGGCAGGCGCGCGGCGGGAAGGGGGGACCGGGGCCGAGCGCCCGAGCCGCCTCGGCGTTGTTGATATTTTGCTTCCTTCCTCCTTTCGGGCTCCAAAGGTAACTCCTCCAGCCCCCGGGAGTCGAGGCCGACGTAGGCACAGCTCAGCCTAGCTTGAGGGGTGGGGCCCGGGGGCTGATGGACAGGCAGGGGGCCAATGGGAAAAGCCCGCGCCGGCGGGGCGGGGCCTGAGGGGGCGGGCCTGGCCGCGGCCCCGCCTCGCGCCTCCCGCCTCCCGCGGCCAGCCGGGCGGGCCGGGCGCCCCACCCACCGCCCTCCAGGCTAGGCTGCGGCGCCGGGAGCGGCGGATCCCTCCGCGGGCCGGGAGGGGAGGGGAAAGGAGGGGGGCCGGGCCGGCGGCGCGGGAGGCGAGGCCAGCGGCCGGCGGAGGGACGGCCCGCGCGAGGTGCCTCTCGGCGCTGCTGCCCCCGTGCGCTCGCCGCGGTCCTCCCCGGGGGCTGGGCGGCCGCCGCGCACTGGCGCACGCGAGCGCGCCCCCTCGACCCCCGAGCACCGGGAGAGTTGGCGGTGGCAGTCTAAGTAGGCAGATTCAGGGCAAACACTACATGGCGACCAGGCTCCGTCTCCCCCACTTAGGGCGCGCCGAATCCCGCTGGAGAGCAACGCGTTCCCGGCCGCGGGTTACCTGGGGAGCTCGCTCGCTCCTCTACCTGTGCCGGCCCTCCCCTCCCGGGCCGGCTCGGCAGACGCCCAGCAATTTAAAGCGACAGCTCATAGTTCTGGGGTGACCTAATCCCCAGTGCCTGCGGCCCCAAAGCACTTACAGCCGAGGGGGGCAATTTAAAGGGGCGGGACGTTAATTTCCCCCAGCACAGGAAACGCCCAAAAGCATCTTATTAAAGAAGCCGTAGTAGCTCTTAAGAAAAAAAAAAAATTTTTTTTTTAATTAAAAAATCCCTAGTTGCCCTGGGGCGTGGTGAATCTTGACGTGCCCTACTACAGGCGTTCCGGGCCATGCCTACCCACCGGCCCCTCGGACTTCTTCTCCAGCAGCCCTGTTACCTCCAAATCCTGCTGCCGTCGACCCGGTGCTTGAGGAAATGATGGAATACGGCTTCGATCTCTAAGAACCTTGCAGAACAGAAGGGTACTCAGTTCTGCACACACCCTGATTGCTATCTGGCTGGGTCTGATTTACTGAACAAAGACTAGATTCTAGGTTAAGTGCTGGGTTAAGTTCTGCGTGAAGACACTAATAAGCACGGGGAAGCAGCAAGTCATGGTGATTAAAAGCATCAACATCGGAGTAGCCAAGCCTTATTGGTTCAAGTCCCCATTCCACCACATATTACCTGTGAACACACGGACCTTATTTAACTTCCCTGTACCTCATGATCCTCATGGGTGAAACGAAGATGGTGATAATAGTACCTAGCTCATAGATTTGGTGTGAAAATAATTCGTTTATGCAGGTAGATTGCTTAAAACAGTGTCTCATACTACGTTATAATAACTTAAGGGCTGGACTGTCACAACCCCTTTAGGCCCATTATCCCATACAAGCCTCAAAGCAGGCAAGATCAGTGGAACCGCTTTGCCAGTAGTTTGGAGGCTTATCTTGTGTCTTAAAATGGGAAGCCAGCGGGCTCCAATTCCCTTGGCCTCAGTTCCCAACCCTTCCACCTGGCTGCTCCTTCAGGAAACCTGATTTAAACAGTGTCCCGCTTTGTCCCCAAATGTAGCTTCTCAGTTCCCCGTCAGACGTGGGAGATGAGGCCCCAGCACCAGAAAATCTGTCTCGCCTGCCAGGCAGGGCTAGCTTGCCCCCAACTCCTCAGGGCAAGCAAGGGGAGCCCAACTGCCCTGTCCCCTAGGACCGTGAGAAGAACAGAGGCTTGTGCCATGGCTGGGGCTAGGGCTGTAGCAAGATGGGAAAGTGCCCCCCCTCAAGTGGGGAACCTCCCCTCACTTGTGGCCTCTATTTTTAGTGCTTCCCCAGGCTCTAGCTGGAGAAACCGTTTAGTCATCAGGGTGTTTATTTTCCGGCTGTTTCCGACGTCGGGAAAGCAGAATGTTGAGACTGGAGAGACAGGGCTGCTGGAAAAGACTTCTTAGGAACAGGCCTGGGAACGCAGCCTTCAGACCAATGGGTCCCAAGATCTCAGAGGGAAAAACCAAAGTGGGCACAGGGCAGCTAAGCCCCCAGGGGACCAAGAAAGATGGGTTCTCAGCCTGCCTGCAGTTTTGAGGCTCTCCAAGCCAGAGACCCCTATGACCCTAGCTCCCTTTGAAGGATTCTCTCCAAGAACATAAGTAGCCCCAGAACAAATAGTTCCCTACATCTGATTTCCAGAGACCCCCCCCCCCAACCTCTGATAGATCTGAGCGGTGAGCCTCCCGCCAACCACAGCTCCAGCCAATCTCAAGCCAGAGGCACACTTGCTGGGGCTGTGATTGGCTGGCTAGTCCTCCTGCCTTGGAATGTTGGGTCCTTAACAAAGGAATGAGGAAGGAAGGTGAGTCACCTGGGAGGGTGTTAAAGGGCCAGAAGAAGAAGAGAGAAAGGAGGAGAGGGAAGAGTCCAGTGAGGGAGATGAAGTATCCTGGACCTTGAGATGCTGAACAGAGGAGGAGAGAGACGCAGAGGCTGACATTACAAGCAAGATAGAATTTACACGTATTTATATTTGTAGAGAGAACTTCATGGAAAGGAAAAATAGCAAATATGAGGTCTTGATTTCCGTGGAGGGCTGAGAAAGGATCTAGGGGGTAACGTTGCTGGAAGTTAGGTTATAGTAAAGACTTCCTGAAACTGACTCACACCATCTTCTTCTTCTAGCCCCTGCACTACCCGTGCCAGAATCCTCTAGGGGAAAAACACCCTCACAGCTCAGGTGCCTGGATTTCAGTTTTTCCTTCTGCCCCTCTGATTCCCACCCAATCTTCTGTCGAGAAACGTCATCTTCCAGACCAAAGTTGCTATAAAATCCCCAAGAAGTCAGACAAGTACCCAACAAAGTCCTAAGAAGTGGGTAACTCCTCTGTACAGTACCATCTCCATAGTTTTGACAGCAAAGGGGGACCAACAGCTCCCCTATAGCCACACCTCCCCAAGCACCCTAATCCATCTTTACTTGGAAAGGTCTTCCTCATCCCCAAGTGCTTCTTCACTTCCTGCCTGCCATTCCATCCTCTGCCTGGCTGCTCAGTTGGCCCCCTGGACCATCCCCACCCCACCCCCACTCCACCCATCCCATCCCTTCTACTGGGCTGAGTACTCTTCCTCCCAGCTTTTCAGTCTCTCCCCGTGCCTTCCATCTTGCGTGCGGGGGAGGGCAGGGGCTGTCAGACCCACTGTCTCTCGGTGGGCTCATGCATCATCCCGCACCCCTCTTTGCGTCCAGTCCCCTCCACTCTATGTGGCTGCCTCATCAGTACACACCAGACCGGACTGACATTTTTGGTTTCCAGTTTATTCTTCTTCACCAGATCCTGAGCTCCTGGAGGGCACCAGATCCTGGAGGGCAGCAGTTCGACCAGCTTTGGGACTTCAGGGCCTTGCTGGGCCTGTCCTTAAAGGCACTCAGCAATGTCTGTTACAGGAATCCATGCCTGTTCGTGTATCTTGGTGACCATTATAAAAACTGTCTTGACAACCTCCTCTATTAGTCCATCGATAACTCTGTGCTAGCCAGGGATGGGGGCTCTGGCCCAGACAAGTCCCTCTCTGGGCCAGGAATTGGGGTGGGGGGGGCGGAGTTAAGCACAGAGTTGTCCGGGGCTGTGCTGGCATAGGCGTGCTCCAAGCTCGGTGCCAGGGTGCCTGGGGCCAGGCCCGGGGCAAAGGGCAGAGGCTCTACCCTGGATTTGAAGGTGGGAGGAAAGGGGTGCCAAAGCCGGGTCCTCAGTCCGTGCCCCCCCTCAAGAGTTCGCTGCCCCAGGCTGGGCAGGATGTGGTGGCAGCTGCAAGAGGGTGGGCAGGATGTGGGGGTGGGGGCAGCTGAAACGAAGCCTGACATTCGCCTCCCCAGCTCCTCCCTCCTTCCCTCTCCCCCCCCCATCCGCCCCCTCCAGGTCACGTGCTTCCAGCCCGGGCACCAACGGACTATTTCTCCCTTTCCGCGGAAGGACATAGTTGACATCGCAAACTCAAGTCACCTTCGACTTCAGCTGTACCACGCCTTTTTCTTGCCCCGTAGCCCAGGACAGAAAGTTTGCCAGATACACATTTCTTTAGCGCCCTGACCACTGATTCAGGGGTGGCCCCTTTAAATGCAAATGAACCGCCTTCTCGCTCTGGCCCCCCCCACCCCCATCCCAACTTCGCTCCTCGTGCCCAGACTCCGCCAGCTGCCATTGACGTCATGCGTGCGTCAGCGTCGCCAGCCCAACCAGACGGCACGTGGGGGGAAGAAGGTGGCCTTAAAGGGCCAGACGCCTTCGGCCTGCCGGGTGCTGTTCCGAGTTTGGCCTTGAGAAAGGAGCGAGATGAAAGGTGGGGAAATCTACTGCCACAGGAAGGGATGCAGGCAGGGCAGGTAGGAGCTCGGCTGCTTCGCAGAGCAGGAGAGCCGGGCCTTTCCTCCAGGTTCCCCAGGAGTGCGGGGTTTGCTCCTGGGAGCGCAGAACAGCTCTGAAGGTAAAGGACGCTGACATTTAAGACTTGCCCTGTTAGAACGTGAGCCCTCCCTTCCTCTCTGCCCTGCTCGCCCACAGTGCAAGGACTTCGTTCTTGGACACAGATACCGGTCCACTTGGTATCTCCGGCACCAAGTGGACAGGTGTCTGGCAATTGTAGAAGCCGCAGGATCCAGTGCAAAGCCACCTCCTTCAGGAAGCTTTCCCTGACTGCCCCACGTGGCAGGTTAGCATGTACTGGCAGAAAGATGGCCTCACTCTCATGAACACTGGTGGCGTTTAACGACCCTGCGTCTTCCTTCCATGTGTTAAGAACCACAGGGCACACAGACCTCAGAATCACAGAGACATGGGTTTCAATTCCCTCTATACTGTTTTCTCGCTGAAGGATTTGGGACAAGTCTCTTCATCTTAGCTCTGCTCGGTGTCACATGGGGTTAATGCTGCTGGACCATACACTACGCTGATGATGGAGAGCCCCCAGAGCCCCCAGAGCCCAGGTATGGGACCTGTCTCATGTAAGCACTCCAGC